TTTATTTACAATGCTTTGTTTACTTACCTGATTACAGTAATACTTATTGGAAAGTAAACAGGCCAAGCCTTATGATGTAACTCATTTGACTCTTTCAATATTTCTTCTATCAGTGGCAAACACACATAGGATCTCTACGTGTTCCCTCACCTACCATTCACTGTACATCAAGAACAAAATGCCAGGAAATGTTCTCAATCTTCCTGAAAGCATTTGTGGTACATATGGTTCTTAAGTCTAAGAACCAGCATATATATTGCTTAAGACCTCAGTACAAATACCCATTCAATTGTAGACTTCACTGGGTAATTTTAGGTCACTCGCTCTCAGCCTAATCTATTGTACAGGGATTGTTACTACAAGGAGATGACAATTCTTTATATATCCTTTTGAGTCATCAGAGAAAGCGTAGGGCATAAATACTGTAGGGAAATAAATATTACCTTTGTATTAACATTTGAAATTTGGTTTTGGGGGAAAAACCTGAGTATACCATGGACAGCCAAGAAAACAAGCAAATCCATATATATAAAAGCGTTATGCATCATCACAAAATCTCCAGAACTGTAAAGCCTACAAATTTGAAATTTGGCACCTATTGGCTTCTAGGTGCTCACTAAGAAAGGATTTTTCGAAATGACCATCAGAGCATTCGTATTTCATGTATTATTATTAATACGCTCTGATGCTAAGGAGTTCTACTCCCCCTCCCCACCTGAAAAGAAATCTGTTCCAAGTGCAAAACATAAGCAGAGGAGAGTTTCAGTTTCAGAGCAGCAACCAGCTTTAGTACAGAACAGTTGAGCTAAGCCACGCCCAGGTTCCTGGCTGTCTCCTTCTTGCTCACACAGCAAATACTGTTTCAGTTTCCAAACAGCCCGCAACTCTCTCAAACACTGACAGGATGCTAGCCAGATGAGTGCCGATGAATGCTGGTAGGGAGAGGCAGAATTTCCCCCCCTTTTTTTCCTTCCCAAAAACCAAGGCCGATCACATTGTAGTGAAGCACTTTATGAAGTAGATCATAAAACAAATCCAAATTCTCACTTGAGGCAGGCTCAAACAATCATAGTTCTTTTGTTTTCTTTCTGTTTCCCCCCCCCGCCCCCAAAGATATACAGGCAGACCTCAACTTACAGCCATTCGTTTAGTGACATTTAAAGTTACAGTGGCACTGGAAAATGTGACTTCAGACCGATCTTTGTGATTACAAATGTTGCAACCTCCCCCATGGACATGTGATCAAAATACGGGCACTTGGCAACTGGCATGAATTCATGAAGGTTACAGCGTCCCAGTCACATAATCGTCATTTGCAACTTTCCCAAATGATGAGAAGCTGGACTCCAGACCGTGGGGTTCACTAACATGGGAAAAAAGTTATAAAATCAGGCTCAACTCACAACAGCCTTGCTTAGCAGTGGAAATTCTGGCCGTATGTTAAGGAATTGTGGTCATAAGTTAAGAAATACCCATACACTCAAGTTTCTAGCTCCCATTTTTCCAGAGTGGTTTATAGAATAATAATAAAAAATTATATTCTGAGGCACCAGTCTAAAAAGATGCTACTGATAAGGAAAAAGATATAGTGTTTTTTAAAAAGCCTGAAAATTCAGAAAGCAGTTCTCAATGTTCATAGTTTGTGTAATGGTAACAATGATGTATGTATATTGTTTTAGAGGCCCCAATGACATGATCATCTCCCACAGCTGATACTCTTCCTCACAGAATTGGACCAAAAGAGTTCAGGAAGGGCCTTCAGCTTAAATTTGCAGGGGCTTATGAAAAACTGAATAATGACTGCATAAAACCAGGAGGAAAGGGTGATTTGGACAGACATATACTGTACAAAAATTAGATAGCAGTCACTAAATATACAAAGCATAGCTCAATAGCACAAGAGACCTGAGATTTAATAAAACCCCAAACCAATTACCTTGAGGTAAGCTGGGCAGCCTATATATTTTATAAATAAATAAATAATAAAATAAAACAAATGTAGGCCTCCTGGATTTAGTGCCATTTTATGATTTAACAGAGATTGGGAGCGGGGAGGCCTGATTTATCTGTCTAATTTAGAAACTGTTTTGGTTACAGGTTTTCTCTAGCAGTTTCCCATAATCCTGGCACTTCAGTATATATGAACTTCAAGTTCTACAATTTCTCAACTACAGTTGTATAGCCATTACGAAAGATCTTGGGGATGTAACCTCACATAAGGAGGATGCTAATGTGGACCAAGTATGATCTAGAATACTTCACAATGAAGTTTAATACAGGGTAAATAAGATTGTTATATGTCCCCTTCAGCTCTAGGAAGTGGGACAAAGCAATACAAAATCCCTTTTTGGCAACTATTAAATCTGCTGTGAACAGATTCTTCACATCAGTTTATACTTCAGTTTATACTTCCCAAATTTATATTCTTTTGCATAGGATCAGCTATGCAACATCTTCGTGTTTTTTTAAGCCTCTTGCACCATTCAACTAAAATCCAAATAATAGCTTAATAAAATTCACTTGTGTTTTATTTAAATAATAGTTTTTAAGTGTGGTGAAAAGATTAGATTGCTGTTTTTTAGTGGCAACAGATCCTAACTCAGGGGTGTCATTTTTTAGTCATATGCTTCAAAGGTTTCCAGCCTGAGTTCTTGTTCAAGGACGACATGCTTGGTTGCTTTTAACATACATATTAATAGGGACTTAACCCCCCCCCCACATCCCAAGAGAAATAATTATGAAAAGTCTCTCTTGAAATCTGCAGGTGTTTTTCCTCCCAAGTGGCTCCTTATACATTTGATCAACACTTCACCTGAGAAACAATCTTCTACAACTGTAAAAGAGCAAACACAATGATTAAGAGACTAGAAAGACCTGGGGGCGGGGGGAGGCCATAATAACTGGGGATTTTGAATTTAAATCAAAAGTAAAAGGAGATATAAAGCAAGGATTTCAACTCATAAATGATGTGAACAATGAACATACAGACTGTCTTTCTCAAAGACATGTTTACATTTTAAAAATCTCACTGAAATTGAGATGTGAGATTTAGGATAAATAAAATTTTATGCAATGCGTAATTAACTTGGGATTTGCTATCATTCAGATGTAAGGATGAGCATCCATTTAGATAGTTGTAAAAGTGAATTGATAAATTCACACAGGTCACCAGGTATGGTTTTCATACCTTATATTTTGTTTGCTGCTATAAAAATGGGCTCAGCTGCCTGAGCCAGCTCTCAACATCTTGCTCTTTCCACCAATAATCCACAGCTCCTCCAAGAAAAGTTCAATAATCTCTTTGACCTCATCTCTCAGCTTTGCCAAGCATAATTATTTTTCTAATTGAACATTTGTTCATATTCCATGTCCAAATTATGTGAGGTTTTGCCTGCTGCTATTGTTTCAAGGGAGCAATAAATCTTTACTTGGTCCATGACTGTTTGATTCATCTGCAGTCTCTGGTACTCTTAAGCAACCATCACAGTTCATAAACCAGATGTTTTCTTTTCCTCTTTTTCAATATCCAGCTTTCATAATCATACTGTAAAGATCAATGGTTTATGTATTGTAATCTTTATTAAGTATTCTTACTACCTTAATGTGGTGGGGAGGGTTCAGAAATTTTAATATTGTAATCCCTCAATAGAAGTCTGAACTGCTGGCAAGCGGGCCAATCTTCATAGTAAAGCTGAAGGAAGGATCTTCTAAGAGTAATCTACAGCTGTGGTGAAGCTTTGCAAACAAGAGGGAAGACCAAAATCAAACTTAGAACAAAATAATGGTAAATTACTTCTGTATTGTTATCTAGAAAACTGCATGGGCATGTCCACAAGTTGGATTTGTCATGTGTTACTCAATCATATGTTGTTCAACACATACAAGTAAAAGCTGTAAAGTGGCAAAAACCTCTTCCTTGCAACTCTACACAGCACTACTGTAAAAATGTGAGATTTAGCTAGCTTGACCAATTAATTGTGAATGTATACAATCTCTTGAATCATAGGCAGCATATTTTAAATGCCATAATAAATTAAATGCTGGGCAGCAGGAAAAAAGAGCTACTCCCTTGAATTTCCTAATGATACCTGATTGACAACTTAGGTTTATAAATTTTAATGAGGGGGGTCCCTATTTGGAACAATTAACCATTGAATTGATAATTTACTCAAAGCATTAATGAAACTTGTGTATACATAGCACAATCCTATTTAAATGTGCTTAAAACTGAATCCGATTATCTTGAATGGGGCTTAAGCTTAGGTCAGCATGCAATGTTATAGTCAGGCTCCACAGATTTGTTAATTTTTTTTTTATAATATACATATCTCAAGAACTCCAGGCAGGCAAGATGATAATTCTTTCCCCATTTGATCCTCCAAACTCTTTTGAGATCGGTTTTTGAAGCTTGGAACCAATGGCCCAAGTTCACCCAATGAATTTTATGGATAAGTGGGATGTGATTTCTATAATCCTGTTAGGATTTCTAGAAGCAGCTGGAAAAATGGATTCTTATGCTCAGTTGGGGATACTAATGCCTGGTGGGTTGATCTCCATTCTTATCTCTCTAGGATAAGGCCACGCAAATAAACACTATTTTCTCTTTCACATGGCAAGATAACCCAACTCCTTAATACAAAGTTCCAGGTAACGGAATTAGACCGGCACCGCTTCGTTCGCAGTGGGCAAAGGTGCCCACCAACTTCTTGGCAATGAATTAAAAGCAGTTCAAAACCTTGGCTCTCATCGGAAAGAAGCCGGGGAGGCGGGGGGGTGAACCCCAGGTGGAGACTGCGACCCGCCACCGCGTATTTGGGGAGACTTGCCCGGGGCCACTTCCTCTCCGACCTAAACTCCGGAGCCCCCGGTTCTTGAAAAGCTCCGAGCCCTCCTCGGCCACGGCTGATCCGCGGGGAAAGAGGAAGAAAAGGCGCGCTCAGCGCCGCCGGCCCTTTCCTTCCAGCCCCACCCCTGATCGCCCTTTGACTCTCCGTCGAGGCGGGCTAAGGGCGGAGGCTGGTGCTGGAGGGAGGACGGGGCGACGTTGCCCGGGCCGGTGTGTCTTTCTTGCTTCTGCCTTTGTAAGCCCGCCGTCATGGCTTCGGCTTTCCGTCCCGGCGCCTCGTCCTCTCCCCCCGCCGCCTGCCTACTTCTGCTGCTCGGCTGCTTCGTCTTGCGCGGGGCTTCCGCGTGGTCGGAGGAGACGGAGGAGGACGCCGACAAGACGGACCCCACGCGGCACCTCTACAACGCCGAGATGCTGCGCCATGGCGTCCGGAGCGCACCGCACTTCGTCATGTTCTTCGCCCCGTGGTGAGCGGAGGCGGCGGCGGCGGCCTGGACAGGGACGCGCTCCTTCTCCCGGCTCTCGCTATTGTGGCAGCCGGAGGGAAGAGTCGGTGAGGGCGGGTTGGGAAAGCAGCCCCCGGGAAAATCCGGGCGGGAGTGGGGAGGGGGCTCTCTTTTTCCCTCCGCGCCCCGCCTCGTTTAGCTTCCCCCACACCCACACAAATCCCGTGCCGTGCCCGCTAGCTTCCCACAGCCACAGACCGTGCCAGGAAGAGGCCAGGATTTGCTGAGACTTGGCGAGTTCACTTCCACGCGAGCAAATCTTTTAATCTCTTCTTGGCACAAAGCTGGTGAGCTAAAGTTACTGCCTTTCCCTAAAAGGCGTGAAGCGGACTTGTTCCGGGATCGCTGGTGTGAATGGATGAAAAGTGGAGAAACTTGCGCCAAGTGTCCCTATTGGGTACATGCACATTTAAAAGGCGGGGAGGGCGGGGAGGCGCCCTGTGAGGTTTCTTACCACAGAAGCCATCTTTTTCTGACCTCGCCTTGTTTGCAAGCTTCCCCCCTTGGGAGAGAAATGCAGATGGACTTGCTGTACCGATGGAGTAAGGCCTGGAGAAAGGAAGGATATACAACACAGGAAACCCACCCTAGAAGCAGTTTCTGAAGTTCAGGGGGCTGTTATGACTGCTGTTAGCTCATCCTTTCCTTGAACACATATTAGCTCCTGCAGAACTGAACTAAGGGTTGTCAACCCATGCCTTACGCAGATGGCATAGAAAGCTCAGCAACTTTTAAACAGGTGAAGCAGAGACAGGATCACAAAGATTACTTTAAAATTGCAACATCAGTTCCAAAGGCAAAGAGACGCTGAGCTGACGAAATTGACTGTCTAGCCCTGCAGAATGATATTCATGGAACACCACACACAAAAACCACCATAAGGAAAGGTGATGATGATGATAGTGGTGGGGGTGTTGGTGCGTCCATGTACGCACACTCCTTTAACTCAGTTTTTGATTCCTGGCAGACTGCCTGGATTAGGTCCTGCAGTTTTCTTGGCAAGGTTGCCATTGTCTTATCCTCAAGGCGAAGAGAAAATGATTGGCCAAGGTCACCCAGCTGGTTGATTATGAAAGGCAGGACTAAAACTCAAGGTCACTTCATCCCAAAGTTAAAGCGATGGCATTCATAGGGCTGAAATCATGAATGTTGAGTTCCATCCTAGACTGTAGTAAAGACAGGACTTATTTCAACTCAATAACTTGGGCTTAACTATCGATTGATGTTAAACATCCTTGGCAGGACCACAGAAGTGTCCTACTGATGACCTAGGTGTGGGATAGACCAGGGGTCGCCAACCTTTTGGACCTCAGGGACCACCAAACCCATACTTTCAAATCCTGAGGACCACTAATATGGATTTTTAAAAAAAGATAATATATTTAATATAGTTTTTTATTTTTATATTAAATATAGATGTACTATTTAAAAATTATATATATTCAGCTTTGGTATTCAGCTTTGTTCGGGTATTTTCCCACGTCATTATAGTTGTGCTTTTATAAGTTGTAGCGACGTTTCGGCAGAATCTCATCTGCCATCATCAGGCTTCTGTATTGTATTCGTCTGTGACTCAGACTTTCACAGCCGTTTCTGTTTTAAATTTGGTGCTA